TTTGATAGACAAATGTACAAAAAGGTATGTCCCTATAGATAGTGGTGGTAAAATACTTCCTGTTGAAAAACATTGATCTGTTGGATAGTTGTCGAAGAGTTTGTATTTAACAGATTTCTGCTTCCCAACCTTCCACATAAGTTGTCTGGACAGATGAAACCCAGATTCAACCTGCAAGTATTCAAACACAGACAATCTATGTTTGCTGAACTTTTCTCTACGAGAAAGAGAATATACTTTTACGTACATGTTTGTATTTTTTTAGGATGATAATTTACCTCATTTGAAATGTTTCTCATTAATATGTTATGAGAAAACTAATGCGTACGATAATCGAGTACTTCCTCTTCTTCGTCGTATGACATATTTGGAAAAATTAACATTATATCTTCGTTTGCATGATCGAAATATATTTGTTAATGGTACTCATCTTCATCGAGAAATTCTTATGCATATGTCACAACTTCATACATTCATTTTTTATATAAGTACTGAAATTGAAATCAATGATTCAATTGATCGTTTATCTGATAATGATATTCAACAAACGTTTACAAATATAGGTTATCATCGAGTAGCTTGTGCTGTAAATTATTATCATAAATCCAAAGCAATATGTCATGTTTTCTCACTTCCATTCGTATTTGATCGTCTTATCAAGATCTGCAATCATTTTCCAGCTGCGATATATGAACATGTTACGGAACTGACGATACTTGATGACATTCTATTTAATTATGAATTTATCGTGCGTATTAGGAAGGCTTTCCCATCGCTGAACGATTTGACCATTGTCATTCTTCAACCTCCATCAGATGAGTTTGGTGAAGATGAACTTAGAGAAAATCAATCAATTGCAATTATGAAATACCTTCATCTTACTGGACTTGCCACTTCGTATGAAAGTGATGACTATTTATAAGAGAACTTTACCAGAGATACAACATGACACAACTATCTTAATATAAAACTAATAAGCTTTGAAAAGATTATTAATTATTCAAATGAATTATTTCTGTATTTTTTTTTTCTGATTATTTGAAAAATAAAAACTCGCATATTGCGTTATATTTAACACTAAATAGTTATGTATGTAAAGAGAAAACGCATATTTTTCATTTTTTGAAAATAATTTTCACTTATATCGAAGATCTCTATTGAACGATCACCTATAGTTTGCCGTTGACTTTCTATCATTGACTCTATATTATGTTACTACACAGGATGCTGAGGTAGTCTCATTCGCTGTCCATCACTCTTATTTGTACGCTAGCACAAAAAAGCATGATAGTCCTGCCATATGATCTTGGTGTAAACTTTTTTTTCATTTATATTGAGACCAAGAATATTTCTCTACGTATAAGCTTATATCTATTTGCACAAAATATGATGAAAATGCTAGATACGTCTGAACTCCTATATTATTATCGCTGGTGTGCTTGTATCCAAAATGATATTCTGTGCATCATCCCTCATATGGTAGCGACTGTTAGGATTCATTGCCATCATTCACTCTCCATTTTATTACCTGATCTTTCGATACAGATTCTGTCTCGAAAGATTAAAATCAGACCAAAATTGTGTCATTTTCATCATTCTCTAATGGAACAATGATCGACTTTAATCTGATTCTTCCGTAGTATTTTTTATATGGGAACTAGAAGTGAACATAGAACAAGGTCTTCTGTCTTGTCATGTGTCCATCTCTGATGGCAAAATATATATATGACTAATTCGCATTTTTAGGTTTCACTTCTTTTGTTAAAAGATGTCGCTATGAAATAGTTACCAAGTCAATATATCGTCAATAAGAATATATTTTCGTCTTTTTGAAAAGATTTTAATGAGTTTTTAGTTATGATCTATAAAAGATAATTCTGATTCTAATCGACAAAATTTCTTCGAAATATTCTAATTGATGATTTGTATAATACCATATTTATTAATTCAATGGATGAGATATAACATCTAACTATTCATTTCATTTCAAAAAATTCTATTAGTCTATTTCAATAGATGATATGGACTGACGACGAAGATTCCGATGAAGATCAACAACAGAATACATATCGAAACAATGATCAAATAACACAAAGATATTCAAATAAAGGAAAAAAAGACAAATGTAATTGTCGTCGAGAATGTTCAAAACGTTCTTGTTGTTGTTTTAAATTTGGTAGTGGATGTAACACATCGTGTGGATGTGGCACATCTTGTCAAAATATGTTTAATTGTCTGGATTATTTCTTTGGTGAAGATGGAGCATATAATGGAAATTCTTGTTTTACAAAATGGCTTATCAAACATGCTAAAAATGCAGATGAATTAAAAGTGATTGATCGGAAGAAATTACATCAATCTATCATGCAATCTCCAAGT